ATATATCAAAGCAGACATTTTACTGATATATATTTTTACTGATGGGCATAAGCTACAAATTAGTGTACACCTCCTGGTGTAGTGCAGTAGGATCAGCAATGGACTATGAACCACAAGGTTGGCAGTTCAAACCTTCCAGCTGCTCCTCAGAAACCCATACAGAAGAAGTGGGGAACCTTTTTTCCTGTCAAAATTTGTACCATCATTCGAGGGGCCCTACAAAATTATCTACTTAAAAATTAACCTGCTGTTATTTGGTCAAACACTTAATTAATTCACCCCTAATATGTGTGGTGCTGTGGGTTAATGCGCCAGACTGCAAAGCCGTTTGAGCTGCAAGGTCGGCGGTTCAAGCTCACCAGCTACTCCTTGGAAACCCTATACAGGGTCGCTATGGTTTGGAACCGACTCAACGGCATTAACAACAACAACAACAACAACACCGTGTCCTGGTGTGGCACTGTGAGACTATAAGCTGGACCACAAGTTTGAACTGCAAGGTCAGTGGTTCAAACTCACCAGCAGCTACTTGGAAACCCTATGCAGGATTGCTGTGGGTCACAAGTGACTCAATGGCACTTAACAACAACAACAATGTGATGGCTAGAACTGTGGTTTCCTTGACAGGGCCAGACCAAATGATTTCGTGGGGTCTTATACAGCCCAAGGTCCGGATGTTCCCCACCACTGTCTATACAGGGTCACTATGATTCGGAAGTGACTCGAGGGCACTGAACACCACCAATATTAAGGATTCATTCCTTCCTTTCTCCCCACGCCCCAAAGGGACATCTTTAGCTAAATGTAATAATCAGGAATGATATAAGTACATTCTTTTGTGGAATATTAAAATTAACTATGTGTGAAAGTCCTTATGTAGGAATGTTTTATTCTTCTCTTTCCAATCAGAAACAATTATTCAATCAATCAGCTATCTTAGGCCAGTGGAGAACTGGTATGGTGCTGTAGGATCAGCTCTGGACCATAAAATTGGTTTCAACTGCCAAGTCTGGAGGTTCAAAACCCACCAGCCACTCCTCGGAAATCCTATTCAGGGTTAATAGGAGTTGAAACTGACTCATTGGTACTTAACAACAACAACATTTTAGGCCAGAGTAGCCTGGAGAGACTGTCACCTGGTCAGGAGTGATAAGACTATTAGAAATCTTTTCCATGATGCATGTTTGAAGATTATAGAAGCATTTTTTCCAACTCCAGCAGATCCGCTTTTGTTTCCTATATTGTTATTTAAACTCAGATTTACCATTATCTAGTCTTTAGCATATTGCTAGAGTCCAGGTTGCCAGGAGGTGTTGCTTTGGTATGTACCTCAACAAAACACTAGGAGATACTGGAAGATCTTATGTGGCACCTGTAGTAGTAGAAGAACTCATATCCTCGGAAACCCCTATACAGGATCGCTATGAGTAGGAACCGACTCCATGGCGCTCAACGACGACAATCTTAGTCCTAATTTGTTAAGTGGAGTCTTGGTGTGGTACTGTAGAATGAGCACTAGGCTGCTAACCACAAGGTCAGCAGTTCAAACCCACCAACCACTCCTTGGAAACTCTGTACAGGGTCACTAAGAGTCAGAGCTGACTCTGTGGCAACTCACAGCATCAACAGTTTCTCAAGCAAATGATACAGAAATTATTTGCTCACTATTCAAGTTTACTTATAGCAAGGGTTCTGAATACTAACTTGGTACTTATGGAAGAATTTATTTTTACAAAAAGTCAAAGTTGTATGGGTTTTTGTTTGTTTTTTTACCAGCATTGAATTTTCTTTTTCTTTTTTTTTTTAAGACTTTTCCAACAGCACAAGTAGCATGTAGCATGGAGGAACGGATTGCAGAGTTGAATCGACAAAGTATGGAGGCTCGTGGAAAACTACTGCAGTTGATAGAGCAGCAGAAACTTGTCTGTGTGAATTCTACCTCTCCAAGAGTATCACCTGTTCAGTCACCTCACAAAATCTGGACTGGTTGGTCACAAATTCATGATTTAAAAACTAGAAGCCTGAATGTTTTCATTTGATTTATAAGTTCATTTTGAGCAAGAAATCTCAAAGAGCATTCTGTTTGACAGAGGGGTCAGACCTAGGCCACAGAATAAGGGATAAAAGTAGGATTAGAAGGCAGGTCTCCTGATTCTTAGTTTAACAATCTTTCTATTTTATGATAACTGAAGTTGATCATTGGATTGTGGGTTCCTAAATTGCCCTACTTGTAGATGGAATTTACTACAGTATACAACTCCACTTACAACATATGAACACTAGACCAAAAGGTCGATTTGAACTGCAAGGTTGGCAGTTCAAACTCACAAACTGCTTCTCAGAAATCCTATACAAGGTCACTATGAGTTGGAACTGATACAGTAGCACTTAACAACAACACTATATAGTATATAAGCATCAGAATGATACTTTGGAATTTTATCAGTAAGAAACTAAGTTTTATTGTTAAAACCATTAAAACATTTTTATTTATAATTAAACTTTTTATTGTTATATTTAGAATGTAAAAAGTTACACGGGAATCAGTAACTGAAAAGTTGCTTGTCGTAGTATTCTCATTCCAAAAGGTACTGATGAAATGAACTATCTCAGGCTGGTGTATAGCCAACAATGAAATGATTAAGACTGTTGATTGGTAGAGCTGTATGAAGACTCTAGAGAGACTGACTGTGGCCTAATTTAAGAGACAGTTCCCATTGTCAGGATCAGAAGAAACTATGCTGCTACAATAAGTGGTGTGTAAACATAAGGCCCACCGGTGTTCTAGAGGCCTTCACAGGTCCTGTGGCTGTTGAAGTAGATTACCTTTGAGGCATCTGCCAATAAGAGTTTTTCCCTTGTTTAGAAGTTTATTCCATTTTGAAATTACTGCCCCAGAAAGCAGATTCTTTTGGAAAGTACCGGAAAACAATGGGTAATGGGTTTCCCTGGAGCCATTTGTCTTTTTGTATTCTAGGATTCTTCAAATGATAGTGATGAAGTTTAGAGAGGCAACTTTAGTATTGTTGTTGTTGTTAAGTACAGAATACTTTAAATCACTCACTCAAGTATGTATGAACATCTACTGTTTGCCTGCTACGTTCTGGGTGCTAGAAATACAGCACTGAACAGGCCAATCCCTGCCAATTTGGATGTTCTGGAGTCCTGGTGTGGCACTGTGGGTTAATGCGCTGGACTGCAAAGTTGGCTCGAACCACAAGGTTGGTGGTTCAGGCTCACCAGCTACTCCTCAGAAACCATATACAGGGTCACAATGGGTCAGAACTGACTTAATGGCACTTAACAAAAATGAAGCAATCAAGTTGTAGAATATGCAATAAATGAACAAACAAATTAATGTATGATGTAAGTGAATGCTAACTGAAATGGGGAAAAAACAAAACAAAATGGATCACTTTTAAGAGGCAATTGGCAGGATATGGCCCAAGATGGTGGCTTTGTCACAGATACCATGCAGTCCCCCTACAGAAAAGAGCTGAGAAACTAAGTGAAACAGAAACATGACAATCTGGGAACCCAAAATCGCAAATGAAGAATAAAGAATTAGTGCAAACACTGAATGGAAGAAGAAACTGAATGAAAACAGTGAATGAGGAGACTGACAGACAATGGACATCCTGCCAGCTGGCTTGGCTCAGCATGGCTGTCTTGAGACAAAATGAGCAGCGTTTCCGAGCATAAACAAACAACTTCACAGAATCCTCAGGAATGTGGATTCCTTCTCTGAATCTTCACAGAAGACAGGAATAATCTGTAGACTAATTTGGAGCTAAGTTATGACTTCTCTGTCGGTTTCTCATATGGTGATGGCTTGCATGTTGGTGTGATGCTGGAAGCTATACATACTACTGATATTTTAAATGGTAGCTGGATCATCCGTGGTGGACAGGTTTCAGCTGATCTTCCAGACTAAGGCAGACTGAGACCCTTATGAGTAGCACCAGAAGTTTGAATATTGAAAGTTGATGAAGAGCACCAGAATATTGCCAGGTAAAGTTCCGGTAGATGAGCCTTTCAAGATTGAAGGCACTCACAATTTGACTGGGGAAGAGCTGCCTCCTCATAGTTGACTGTGAAGGTGTAAATGGAGTAAAGCTTTAGGAACCTTCATTTGCTGATGGGACACAACTCAAAATGAGGAGAAACAGCTGTAGTCCATTAATAATCAGAACATGGACTGTATGAAGTATGATTCTAAGGAAATTTAAAGTTGTCAGAAATTAAACGGAACCCATAAACATTGATAATCCTAGGTGTCAATGAGCTGAACTGGACTGTTATTGACTATTTTGAATCTGACAATCATATGGTTTACTATGCTGGTAATGACAAATTGAAAAGGAATGGCATCACATTCATCATCCAAAAGAACATTTCAAAATCTATCTTAAAGCATACTGATGTCTGATAGAATAATATCCATACATCTACAAAAATACCAGTTAATACTAACTTTATTCAGATTTATGTGAGGAGTTCGACCAACTTCTTCAGTCTGAAATTGATCAAACACACAAGCAAGATATATTGATAATTACTGGTGATTAGAATGCAAAGGTTGGAAACAAAGAGGAAGGATCAGTAGTTGGAAAATATGGTCATGGTGATAGAAATGTTGCTGGAGATTGTATGATAGAATTTTACAAGACCAATGACTTGTTCATTGCGAATGCCTTTTTTGAAGCAACATAAAAGGCAACTACATACATGGGGTCCACCAGATGGAATATACAGACATCAAATTGACTACATCTGTGTGAAGGGGCAGACTCTGGAATAGAGTCATCCTTTGCTCATATGGCAAATTCAGTATGAAGCTGAAGAAAATGAAAACAAGTCCATGAAAACCAAAATATGACCTTGAACATACCCTACTTGAATTTATAGACTATGTCAAGAACAGATTTGATGCATTAGACCCTAATGGCCAAAAACCAGAGAGTTGTGTGGTGGTGGTTATTGTGCCATGGAGTCGGTTCCAACTCAGCGACCCTGTACAGGGTTTCTGAGGCTATGAGTCTGTACAGGAGCAGAAAGCTTCATCTTTCTCCTGTGAAACAGCTGGTAGTTTCAAACTGCTGACCTTAAAGTTCGCAACCCGATTCGTGCTACCAGAGAGTTGTGAGATAACATCAGAAACATTATATTGGAAGCAAGCAAAAGGTCATTAAGAATGCAAAGATGAAAGGAAAGACCAAAATGGATGTCAGAAGAGACTCTGAAACTTGCTCTCCAGTGAAGAGATGCCCAAGCAAATGGAAGAAATGAAGAGATAAAAGAGCTGAGCAGAAAATGTCAAAGAGCAGCTTGAGAAGACAAAGTCAAATATTACAGTGAAATGTGCAAAAGATCTGGAGTTAGAAAACGTAAAGGGAAGAACAAGCTAAACATTTTTCAAGCTGAAAGAACTGAAGAAAACATTTAAGCCTTGACTTTCAATATTGAAGGATTCTATGTACTTCTAGTATTAGCACTAGAACTGAACCACAAGGTCGGCACTTTAAAGCCACCAGCTCCTCGGGAACGCGATACAGAGTCACTATGAGTTGGAACTGACTTGATGGCATTTAACAACAACAATGGGCAAAATATTGAATGATGCAGAAAGCATCAAAGAAGATGGACGGAATACACAGAGTCACAGTACCTAAAGAAAATGGTCAATATTCAACCATTTTAAGAGGTAGCATATGATAAAGAGCTAATGGTACTGAAGGAAGAAGTCTAAGGCACTGACAAAGAACAAGGCTCCAGGAAGTGTTGGAATACAAATTGAAATCTTTCAACAAACTGGTACAGCACTGACTGGAGGCACTTGCTGATCCATGAGCAAGTTTCCAAGAAATGTGGAAGACAGCTACCTGGCCAATTGACTGGAAGAGATCCATATTTGTGCCTGAAGACAGGTGACCCAATAGAATGCAGAAATCATTGGACAGTATCATCAATATCATATGCAAGTAAAATTTTGGTAAAGATAATTCATAAATGGCTGCAGGAGTACACTGACAGGAAATTCCAGAGGTTCAAGCCAGATTCAGACGAGGATGTGTAACGAGAGAGATAATTGCTGATGCCAGATGGAACTTGGCTGAAAGCAGAGAATACCAGAAAGATGTTTACCTGCGTTTTACTGACTATGCAAAGGCTTTGAACTGTGTGGATCATCACAAGCTATGTGTGGATCATGACAGCATTGCAGAGAATAGTTATTCCAGAACTGTGCTCATGAGAAATCTGTACATAGACTAAGAGGCATTGCTCAAACAGAAGAAGGGGATGCTGAATGGTTTAAAATCAGGAGAGGCATATGCCAGGGTTGTATTCTTTCATCATACTTGTTTAATCTGTACTCTGAGCAAATTATCCAAGCAGCTGGATTATATATTTTTTAAAAAAACCCATGGCATCAGGATTGGAGGAAGACTTATTAACAATGTGCGGTATACAGATGACGCAACCTTGCTTGTTAAAAATGAAGAAGACTTTAAAAATACTTACCGATGAACACCAAAGACCACAACCTTGGGTATGGATTGCATATCAGTGTAAAGAAAACAAAAATATTCACCACTGGACCAATAAATAACATCATGATAATTGGAAAAAAAGATTGACGTTATCAAAGACTTCTTTTACTTGGATCAACTGTCAACACTC